TCAGAATCAACACAAAATCCAGACATGGTGATATGCTCTGTAATCTCAGCTTTGGAGTGATGGAGACAGATGGATCACCTAGGGCTCACTGATCAGCCAACCTAGGCTAATCAGAGAGCTCCAGTCTTGTCTCAAAAATCAAGATGTGCGAGCAAGGAACTCAGGACAGCGAGGGGTGCACCCACACACTGAGACAATGGGGATGTTCTATTGGGAACTCACCAAGGCCAGCTGGCCTGGGTCTGAAAAAGCATGGGATAAAACCGGACTCACTGAACATAGCGGACAATGAGGACTGCTGAGAAGTCCAGAACAATGGCACTGGGTTTTGATCCTACTGCACATACTGGCTTTGTGGGAGCCTAGGCTGTTTTGATGCTCACCTTACTAGACCTGGAAGGAGGTGGGAGGTCCTTGGACTTCCCACAGGGCAAGGAACCCTGACTGCTCTTTGGGCTGATGAGGGAGGGGGACTTGATTGGGGGAGGGGGTGGGAAATGGGAGGCGGTGGCGAGGAGGAGGCAGAAATCTTAAATAAACAAACAAACAAACAAATAAATAAATAATCAAGATGTGTAGCACCTGAAAGATGTCTGATGTTGACCTCTGGTCTTCATTCACATGTGCACACCTACTCCAACATACAAAGAAAAAAGTCATAAAAACTATTACATTAGCCAATTGAACTTATATTAGATCTTTTTAAAATTAGTACAACGAAAAATGTTTACTTTTTAATTAGTATACAAAGTAACCCATTTCATTATAGCATTTTCATACATAATTTGGTTTCTGTTGCTGAGCCACTCCTGCACTCTCTTGGACCTTTCCACCCCAGGAATCCTCTTTTAGCTTTCATGGTATTATTACCCACCCTTTTCTATTTCTGCAATTTAGATTTGTTTTACGTGTTTGAGTATTTAGTCTGAATTTATGTATGTGTACCATGTATATGCCTGGTGCCCAAGGAGATCAGAAGAAGGTATATGATTCCCTGAATATAGCATTACAGATGGCTATAAACCACCATGTGGGTGCTGGGAATCAAGCCTAGATATGTTGCAAGAACAATACATGCCTTTTGCGGAACTATCTCACCAGCAACACCAATCACCTTTATTTTCCTTTTTTACTGATTTCTTTTATGTTATTGATAATAAATGATACATACATTTATTTTTAAGTCAATACTTTTATATTGATATGATTTATCATTTATTTTTATGTTTTTTCCTTTTATTGAAAATAGACTTTTTTCTCACAATATATCCTGGCTACTGTTTCCCTTCCCCCTACTCACGCTAGTTCTTCCTCTTCTTCCATTCCATACAGATCTACTCCCTTTCTGTTTCTTATTTAAAAACATCAGTCTTCTGAGTCATAATGGTAAAATAAAATATAATAAGATAAAAACTAACACATCAGCATAAAAATAACACATAGCAGAACAACAACAACAACAACAAAAAACCTAGCAGAAGAGCACATGAGAAGGCACAAGAAACAGAGACCAATTCATTTGCACACTCAGAAATCCCATAAAAACACTAAACTGGAAGCTGTGTGTGTGTGTGTGTGTGTGTGTGTGTGTGTGTGTGTGTGTGTGTGTTTACATACGAAGTTGAAGATTTTCCTTTCAAGATTTGTGAAGGATTGTGTTTGAATATTGATGAAGATTGCATTGAATCTGTAGATCACTTTTGGTATGGTAGTCATTTTTGCTATGTTAATCCTATCCATCAATGAGCATGTGAGATCTTTCCATATTCTGATATCTTCTTCAATGTCTCAAAGTTTTTATCATAGAAGTCTTTCACTCGCTGGGGTAGAGTAACTCCAATATATTTTATATTATTGAGGCTATTGTGAAGTGTGTTGTTTCCCTGATTTCTTTCTCAGTCCATTTTTCATTTGTATTTAGGAAGGTGAGTTATGTGAGTTAATTTTATATCTAAATAATTTGCTGAAGGTGTTTATCAGATGCAGGAATTCCCTGGTGGAATTTTTAGGGTTACTTACGTATATCATCATATCATTTGCAAATTAAGATACTTTGACTTCTTCCATTCCAATTTGAATCCTTTTGATATCCCCCAATTGTCTTATTTGCTCTAGCTGAGAGGTCAAGTACTGGCTGAGAAAGGAGAATCTCTGTGCAAGTTCGAATCTACCCTGTTATACTTGGTGAGTTCCAGACCAGCCTAGTCTAAATAGTGAGTATAGGCAATCCAAGGCTATAAAGTGAGGCCTTTCTCAAAAGAAGAAAAGAAAAAAAAAAGAAAAAAGGAAGTCTGGGGAGATGGCTCAGAGATTCAGATGCCCTTCGCCCATGAACAAGCTTGAAGTGGTTGTGCTCAATTGTAGCCCTAGCACTTGGGGGAAGGAGACAGGTGAATACTTCTGGACAGCTAAAATAGTGAGCTCAAGCTTTAGTGAGAAGGCTCCTTTCAAATGACAAAGTGGCAAGTGATAAAAAGGACACCTAACTTCAACCTCTGCTGGTTAACACACACTCCCCCCCCCCACAGATGGATATACACATACATCACATAGTACATACAAAAAATAAATAAATGACAATTTTTAAGACACAGATAAAGTGATAGTACATTTTTTTCATATGCATATTTCCAAATATACGTATAAATCCTTCAGAACCAATTTGGAAGGACACAAGTCAATCCAATCATGGCAGCTGCCTTCAGGAAGGGGATGAAGAAGACTCTGGTAGAAGATATTTAACCTTATTTGTAATAGTTCAACTCTATTTATAAAAAGTTTACTTACATACTAATTTAAATATTCTACAACATGTGTATGCATCAAAACATCACATGGTACTCCATAAGTATGTACAACTTTTATGTGACAATAATTTTTAAAAGAAACAGTGATTTCAGACTGACAACTCTAATTTGATTTATAATTTTGATAGACATTTAAAAATGTACCAGTGAGCCCTGGAAGATACATGAAACCAACATAGATCACACTGCCAACTAGGACTTAATTTTCATGTGCCGTCACTTCTCCACCTCTAAGGTTTAATTATGAATGCATTTTAAAGAAACTCACTATTTTGTATAACTAATGTATGCTAATCAGGAGTGCATCTACCTAATAGGACCATTATTTAAGTTATATAATAATGATTGCAACTTACTAAAGGGAGAAAATGTGGTGGTCAGTTAATGTAAGCTATGGTACAGTTCTCATTATCAAGCAGCGTCCAGGTCTTCATGCACCAAGCTCTTGTGAGGTAATCAGCATGAGTCAGCCTCCTGTGTCTTACCAGTTCTGGGACACTGAGCAGATCAGGTTTCTAAGACTACAAGACTGAAAATCTAAATTGGACTGACGATGAAAGCACCCAGGCAATGCCAGCCAACAGGGTCTATTGCTAGCCAGCTAGCTACCGTTCTTAGTGATAGCTCACGTCTGCCATTCCTGATCCACTTATGATACTAGGAGGTGAAGGGAGATCTATGCAGAAGGAATATAAACAGTAGCAAATGTATGTGTCAACAGGTGGTGGTGTGGGGCATGACGGATGGTTTCAAATTTTGATTTCACTTTTTTGTATTTTGCAAGTTTTCTTCGGTGATCCTATATTATTTTAATGCTTTGAAAATGTGTTTAGATAATATTGAGATGAAAAAAGTCCAGAGGACAGACACTTGAAGGGGACAAGGGTAGAGAAAAAGGTGGCTGAGGCTATAGTCTGAGTGAAAGCAAGCTATCAGGGAGTTAGGGACCCGAGCAGGGGGATACTCTCCAAATTGAACTCCCCTTTCCTGTGCACTAAGGCCTTGAAGTGGCTTATTTGCCAGTCACTGCATTTGTGTAGGTAGTGACTGCAATGGAAACTATTTGCCTGCCTGCCCGAGAAGTCCGTGTCACTGTATTGAACTGCATCACTGACTGGCTGTTTAACCAGAAAATCCCAGCTCAGCGTTCTTGAGCACTCAGCCTTCAATCTTCATTAGCAAAGATTCATTAGTCACCTTCCAAGGTGCCTATTTGTTATACTTAGTGAGGACGAGGCCATGGCGGCGGTGGCGGTGGTTCAGAAGCAGCTTGTAAGGAGAGAAGAAACTTAAGAAGAAAAAAAAGATGAATGAAAATGCAAAATCACTGTGGCCCGAGGGAGGTGGCCAGGGAAGGCTTAGATTTAGAACTCGAAAGGTCAAGCGACAGTCTCACGCTTACCCCGCAATTCAGAAAGCAGGTGGTACTCCAGCTGAGCCTTGACTGGGGTGCAGGGTTTGGAACAGTAGAGAAAAAAAGATGGGGGGTGGGGACTGTAGAGCAAGGAAGCAAACGCCCTGGGGACTTCTTGCAGGAGGCAGATTCCCCAAGCCTGTCACAGTGTCCTCTGCAGCCTTCTTCCCTAACCCCTCTCCCGCTTTATTTTCAGCTGAATCTTTGTTGTGGTGGCAACACTAGGGGGAAGCCTGCCAAAGCAGGTACTCCACTGCCAGCTGTCCCACCAAGGCCACCCTCGGTTGCTGCTCGCTCTTTGCCCTGTTCCCTGCCTGCAACACTTACTTCCTCAAAGATCTCTAACTGCTTCTTCCTTCCCACGCCCTGGACTCGCGCGCGTCTCTAAGGAGCCAATAACCCCAGGGAGCTCTCTTTTGTTTGGTTTCAGAGTTTAATCCGACTTTTTTTGTCAAAGATCCGGAAATCGAACCGCTCAGCCCTTGAGCGCAAATGCGCGTAGTCTCTCCTTTCACTTTCCAAGTTCCCGTGGGTTCCTAAAACTAGTCCCTCAGAAGTGAGAGCAACAGCCTGTGCACACAACAGGCGTGCAAAATTAAAATAGTCACTTGGAATGTTTCAAAAATAACCTCAGGAGAGCACATTGCCTACGGCGACACATTCTGGGCGGAGGGCCGCCCCCCCCCCCCCCCCCCCCCCCGCCACGCGCCCCAGCGGCCAGCCCATGGGCGCAGCGCGCAGCTGCAGGACCCACGCCCCGCCCTCGCGTGCTCGCCAGGGGAGGCGGGGCCGCGGCCGCTGACCCGCCGCAGTTGCCAGCCTGGAGGCTCCGAGCTGCTGAGGTCTCCCTCAGTCCAACGGAGGATGCCGGTTCGGCTCCCGGGGGTCATGGGAGACTGAGTGGAGACCGGGGACTTTGCGAGTTGAAGCCTAGACCACGGGAAGCTGAGCCGCCACCTAAAGTGGACTCCGAGACCGCTGGAGCGGGGCGCCGCGCGGGAACCATCGGCCAAGCGAGTGAGCGTGCACTCCGAAGGTTTCCGCAGGCCTGGTGTCCAAGCTTCCCCTGAGTGTGGACTGGGGGATTAGGGACTTGGTGCGATGAGGAGTCGGAGTAACTCAGGGGTCCGCCTGGACGGCTATGCTCGGCTGGTGCATCAGACCATCCTGTGCCATCAGGTAAGAGTAAGCAAGGGTGAAGTGTGAGCAGTTGGACACTGACCCTGGGTGAACCCTCGAAAGCGTTTGTCTGTGGGGAGGCCCTAAAAGATCCTGCAGGAAAGTTACACGTTGAACCTGAGGAAGAACCAAAGTGTGGCATGAATAACCACAACTCCCACCCCTTTGCAGTAATTCCAGTAACTACCCACTTCCCCCCACTCCCGGCTACAGGTGGGTACCAGGAGCACTTGTTTACTGACACCCTCACCCCGGGTTTCAGCCATCTACTTCTACTCCCCGCAAAGATGTAGGAGAACATTTAGCCATCCTAAGAGACCTTAGACTATTGCCAAGGTCAAGGCACATTGTGTATACTTCTGTTTAAATAGTTTTGCTCCGTGGCTTAGGCTGGCCTTGAACTTGGAAGCCACAGTCTCCTGAGTTTGGATAACAGATCATAAACCAGTGGGTTTTTTGTTGTTGTTGTTGTTTGTTTCCTAAGTTGTTTTTGTTTTGTTTGTTTGCTGGAGACAGGATTTCACCCTGTAACCCAGGCTGACCTCAAACTCTCCATCCTCCTGCTTCAGCCCCTCAGTGCTGGAATTACAGGTATACACCACTGCACCTGGCTAATGTATACTGTTTGGAGTTGTTTGGTTTGTTTTTGAAACCAAGTCTTACTCTGTAGCCCATGATGGACAGAAACTCAGTGTGTAGCCAAGGCTGGCCTTGAAGTAGCATCAGTCTCCTGCTCAGTCTCTCCAGCCAAGAAATTACAGGCATAAGGCATCACACCTGACTGTATGTATTTCTAAATATATTTTTTACTCCTTTACTTCGTTCGTAGTTGAATTTAACTGAAAAATTACATTTTTAAAAAATACTTTTAGCAATTCTTAGTAATACATTTGATAATAACTTTAATAGTGCCTTTATTTTAATAATACCCACATTTGGATTTGTAAGCCTCCAACCGGCTCTTTCTCAGTCTTAAGATAGCATACGGAAAGAGAACAAGCTTTCTGTTACAAAACAAGTATGTTCTGCAACACTGATTAACATCAGTAGCACACTGACTATTCCATAGTACTTGAATTGTATACCTGAAATTTGCTGAAAGAGTAAATCCCACCACATCAAAGTGAGGTGATGGCTACATTAGCATGATTGCGCTAATCATTTCACCATAGATTCGTGTATGTGTCAAATTAACCTGTTGCATACTGTAAATCTGTATAAATTTATTGTCAGTTATAACTCAGTAAAGCTGGGGGATAATGTCTGCCTGAAATTGGTAAAAAAAAAAAAAAAAGTTCTAAAACTCAAGAATGGGGAAGTAGGAGAAAGACTAAGATTTCCAAATAAACTATTCCATAGATTATGTTTCCTTTTACACTCTGAAGTTAGCTGCCTGTCCTCTCTTGGTTGATCTTGCAGAATCCAGTGACAGGACTGCTTCCAGCCAGTTATGATCAGAAAGATGCCTGGGTCCGAGATAATGTGTACAGCATCCTGGCTGTGTGGGGTTTGGGCCTGGCATATCGGAAAAACGCAGACCGTGATGAGGACAAGGCGAAGGCCTATGAGCTGGAGCAGGTAATCCAAACAGAATCACGTAGAGATGTGGAGCTGTGTGTGGTTGTGGTAGGGTGAGTGGGAGCTAAAGGAAATGTCGCTCGTAGGCCATCCTGCTGAAATTGCATTCTATAAAGTTTCCATGTACTCTGACTGAAGCAGTTTGATTTGGTTATTGCAGTGGAAACTTGAAACTTGCAGATTCAAGGAAAGGGGTGCAGTATATTCACTACTTTTCAAAATCCTACCCTGATAGTCCTAAAGTTAATAATCCTCTAAGTGTATTTTCAGGTTCCACCATTTTGTTTTCATTGAGAAGACTATTTGGGAGCAGATAAGTACTATTTTACTTATTTTTGAAAAATAATTGTAGTATTTATATACACATAACTGGCACAAATCAACAGGCCTTCCTCATCAGACAGAAGTACGACTGTGTTGATTTTTAAAGTTATGACCACTATTTTAGAGAGCTTGTTGCCTGCCTCGGGACAAATTAAAGTCAGCATTAGGAGATGATTTTAAGCCAACTTTTAAGGCATCTTCCCCTCAGTAAATTAGCATCCTTTAAGGAACTTCTGAGCACAAACGGAACTACATCCTCTCAAGTGTCTAAAAGAGCAATAAGTTGGCATTGTTTGGATTCCATAAACTCTGTAATGATAAAGTACTCTGCTATTAGTTGTAAGTATACGTGGATCTGTTGCCATTAGAGAAGAGCCTTACCAGACCAGCCATTTTCTCCTGTCGTTTCCCTTGAACTCCATTTGTGATCTGTAAGTCAGGATATTGGGATTTGGTATTTTTAAGAGTAGCAATATAATCAGAAGCTGTAGTTGCCGGCAGTGGGACAAGTCTCACTGTATTGTCAATAGCAATAGCATAATAGCAATAGACACAAAACTTAATGGAGTTTTTGCTCTAGCCTAGGAAGTATAGACCTTTTGTAGAAATAATGCCATAATAGAAATTTGGAAAATGTAGGAATGGTTTTTTTAAAACCCCTAGTCCTGTATCCTACTGAATGTTTTGGTATTGTGATACTTTAGTACTTTGGTAGCTTGTTCCTTGTATTGATTGCTATAGATTAATATCAGCAGAACTGTAAATACATGTCTGATATAATTTGATCAAAACATTTCAAGATCATTAGAATAAATCTGTTGTCGCATCATAATGCTGATTTGGTTTCTTGCCTTATTTGACCCAAGTGGAAAAATGAGGAAAAAGCTGAATTGCCAGTTCTAAAATTTTAGTGTTCTGTTATATGACCTTTCACATAGCTGAAAATATTTTTTTTTCTCTTTTGGTTTTTTTTTTAATTTTTTTTAATTTATTTATTTATTAAGGATTTCTGCCTCGTCCCCACAACCGCTTCCCATTTCCCTCCCCCTCCCCCGATCAAGTCCCCCTCCCTCATCTGCTCGAAGAGCAATCAGGGTTCCCTGACCTGTGGGAAGCCCAAGGACTGCCCACCTCTATCCAGGTCTCGTAAGGTGTGCATTCAAACTGCCTAGGCTCCCACAAAGCCAGTACGTGCAGTAGGGTCAAAAACCCACTGCAATTGTTCTTGAATTCTCAGTATTCCTCATTGTCTGCTATGTTCAGCTAGTCCGGATTTATCCCATGCTTTTTCAGACCTAGGCCAGCTGGCCTTGGTGAGATCCCAATAGAACATCCCCATTGTCTTAGTGTGTGGGTGCACCCCTCGTGGTCCTGAGTTCCTTGCTCGTGCTCCGTCTCCTTCTGCTCCTGATTTGGACCTTGAGATTTCTGTCCGGTGCTCCCGTGTGGGTCTCTGTCTCTGTCTCCTTTCATCGCCTGATGAAGGTTAATATTCCTGAGGATGCCTATGTGTTTGTCTTTGGATTCACCTTATTTAGCTTCTCTAGGAACATGAATTATAAGCTCAATGTCCTTTATTTATGGCTAGAAACCAAATATGAGTGAGTACATCCCATGTTCCTCTTTTTGGGTCTGGCTTACCTCACTCAGGATAGTGTTTTCTATTTCCATCCATTTGTATGCAAAATTCAAGAAGTCCTTGTTTTTTACTGCTGAGTAATACTCTAATATGTATATATTCCATACTTTCTTCATCCATTCTTCCGTTGAAGGGCATCTAGGTTGTTTCCAGGTTCTGGCTATTACAAACAATGCTGCTATGAACATAGTTGAGCATATACTTTTGTTGTATGATAGGGCCTCTCTTGGGTATATTCCCAAGAGTGGTATTGCTGGATCCAGGGGTAGGTTGATCCCGAATTTCCTGAGAAACCGAAACACTGCTTTCCAGAGTGGTTGCACAAGTTTGCATTCCCACCAGCAATGGGTGAGTGTACCCCTTTCTCCACAACCTCTCCAGCAAAGGCTATCATTGGTGTTTTTTATTTTAGCCATTCTTACAGGTGTAAGGTGGTATCTTAAAGTTGTCTTGATTTGCATTTCCCTGATCGCTAAGGAAGTTGAGCATGACCTTAAGTGTCTTTTGGCCATTTGAAGTTCTTCTGTTGAGAATTCTCTGTTCAGCTCAGTGCCCCATTTTATAATTGGGTTGATTAGCCTTTTACGGTCTAGTTTCTTGAGTTCTTTATATATTTTGGAGATCAAACCTTTGTCAGTTGCAGGGTTGGTGAAGATCTTCTCCCAGTCAGTGGGTTGTCTTTTTGTCTTAGTGACAGTGTCCTTTGCTTTACAGAAGCTTCTCAGCCTCAGGAAGTCCCATTTATTCAATGACGCCCTTAGTGTCTGTGCTGCTGGGGTTATACATAGGAAGTGGTCTCCTGTGCCCATGTGCTGTAGAGTACTTCCCACTTTCTCTTCTATCAGGTTCAGTGTGTTCGGACTGATATTGAGGTCTTTAATCCATTTGGATTTGAGTTTTGTGCATGGTGATAGATATGGATCTATTTTCATTCTTCTACAGATTGACATCCAGTGTTGCCAGCACCATTTGTTGAAGATGCTCTCTTTTTTCCATTGTATACTTTTAGCTCCTTTATCGAAGATCAGGTGTTCATAGGTTTGTGGGTTAATGTCAGGGTCTTCTATTCGATTCCATTGGTCGACTTCTCTGTTTTTATGCCAATACCAAGCTGTTTTCAATACTGTAGCTCTGTAATAGAGTTTGAAGTCAGGGTGAAAGACCCCCGTGGTAGGCAGTCTTTCAGACTGGGGAGACCCTCCCAAGGAACAGCGAGACCACTCTCCGGATGCAAACAGCAAGAGGCTTTTATTGAGTACACAGGTACCTGGGGCGGCTTAGTCTTTCGGGAGACAAGCGCGCCTGCAGACTGGGGGAAGGTCTTTTTATAGGAAAGAGGGCAGCAGAAGCAGATTACAGAAGCAAATGCATCGTTAGTGGTCAGTTGGAATGGGGCAAGGGGCACAGGTGGTTTTTCCTCTCCCAGCACAGATGTATGGGAACAGATATCCTGTTAATTGATGTCCTGTCCTAATCTATGGATATAAAGATCCTGTTTTGCAGCCAGGGACCCTGACCTTACTCTGCACTTACAGTCGTTCGTCAAAAGCTTTGTGAAATGACGTTACAGCAGATAAGCTGGGATCTTTCATAGGGGGAGTTGTCTCTTCTGTGAATTACTGATATTCTAAGTTGGGCACATGTGCTGACTATAGGCATCCTGTTTCCCTAAGCAAACGGGATGTTCTCATTAGAGCAGGCCAGCTGCGGGTTCCTTATCGCTTGGGGCCAGATGGCTGACCGGCTGACCGCAGATATCTCGCCTGGCTTCTCCGCCCTTGTTCTCAAGTCGAACTTCCCTGCTCTAATTACTTGCGTTGCTCCAAAGTTTAAGCCTTGCAAAATGGCGTTACTGCTGCTTAATGAGTGGGGGTCTTTCAAGGGATGGTAATGCCTCCAGACAATCCTTTATTGTATAAGATTGTTTTGGCTATCCTGGGTTTTTTGTTTTTCCATATAAAGTTGATTATTGTCTTCTCCAGATCTGTGAAGAATTTTGATGGGATTTTGATGGGGATTGCATTGAATCTATAGATTGCTTTTGGTAGAAATGCCATTTTTACTATGTTGATCCTCCCAATCCAAGAGCAAGGGAGGTCTTTCCATTTTCTAGTGTCTTCTTCAATTTCTTTCTTCAAAGACTTATAGTTCTTGTCAAGTAGATCTTTCACTTCCTTGGTCAGGGTTACCCCAATGTATTTTATGCTATTTGTGGCTATCGTGAAAGGTGATGCTTCTCTGATTTCCCTCTCTGCTTCCTTATCCTTAGTGTATAGGAAGGCAACTGATTTTTTGGAGTTGATTTTGTATCCTGCCACATTACTAAAGCTGTTTATCAGCTGTAGGAGTTCTTTGGTAGAATTTTTGGGGTCGCTTATGTACACTATCATATCATCTGCAAATAACGAAAGCTTAACTTCTTCCTTTCCAATACGAATCCCCTTGATCTCCTTATGTTGTCTTATTGCTATTGCTAGAATTTCAAGCACTATATTGAAGAGGTATGGAGAGAGTGGACATCCTTGTTGTGTTCCTGATTTTAGTGGGATGGCTTTGAGTTTTTCTCCGTTTAATTTAATGTTAGCTGTTGGCTTGTTGTAAATAGCTTTTATTATATTTAGGTAGGACCCTTGTATCCCTATTCTCTCCAAGACCTTTATCATAAAGGGGTGTTGAATTTTGTCGAATGCTTTTTCAGCATCTAGTGAAATGATCATGTGGTTTTTTTCTTTCAGTTTATTTATATGGTGGATTACATTGATAGATTTGCGTATGTTGAACCAGCCCTGCATCTCTGGGATGAAGCCTACTTGATCATAATGGATAATTTTTCTTATGTGTTCTTGGATTCGGTTTGCCAGTATTTTATTGAAAATTTTTGCGTCGATGTTCATGAGTGAGATCGGTCTGTAATTCTCTTTCTTGGTTGGGTCTTTTTGTGGTTTTGGTATCAGGGTAACTGTAGCTTCATAAAAGGAATTTGGCAATGACTCTTCTGATTCTATATTGTGAAATACATTAAGGAGTATAGGTATTAGTTCTTCTTGGAAGTTCTGGTAGAATTCTGCATTGAAACCATCTGGTCCTGGGCTTTTTTTCGAAGGGAGATTTTTGATAACCATTTCTAATTCTTCGCGAGAGACCGGTCTATTTAGATCATTCACCTGGTCTTGGTTTAGCTTTGGTATATGATACTTATTTAAAAAAATGTCCATTTCTTTTGTATTTTCCAGTTTTGTGGCATACAGGCTTTTGTAGTAAGATCTAATGATTCTCTGAATTTCCTCTGTGTCTGTGGTTATGTCCCCCTTTTCATTTCTGATCTTATTTATTTGCGTGTTCTCTCTCTGTCGTTTAATTAGTTTGGATAGGGGTTTGTTGATCTTGTTGATTTTCTCCAAGAACCAGCTTTTTGTTTCATTGATTCTTTGGACTGTTTTCCGTGTTTCTATTTTGTTGATTTCAGCCCTCAGTTTTATTATTTCCAGTCTTCTACTTCTCCTGGGCGCGTCTGCTTCTTTTTTCCTAGAGCTTTCAGGTGTGTTTTTAAGTCCCCAATGTATGCATTCTCCGTTTTCTTTAAGTGGGCACTTAGTGCTATGAACTTTCCTCTTAGCACTGCTTTCATTGTGTCCCATAGGTTTGAGTATGTTGTCTCTTTATTTTCATTAAATTCAAGGAAGACTTTAATTTCTTTCTTGATTTCTTCCTTGACCCAGGTGTGGTTCAGTAGTTGACTGTTCAGTTTCCATGAGTTTGTCGGTTTTTTGGGGGCAGCGTGGTTGTTGCCTTCTAACTTTAATCCGTGATGATCTGATAAGACACAGGTGGACACTGATATTTTTTTGTATCTGTGGAGGTTTCCTTTGTTTCCGAGTATGTGGTCAATTTTTGAGAAGGTTCCATGAGCTGCAGAGAAGAAGGTATATTCTTTCCTATTTGGGTGGAATGTTCTATAGATGTCTGTTAAGTCCATTTGCTTCATTACCTCCAATAATTCTCTTAATTCTCTATTAGGTTTCTGTCTGATTGACCTGTCCCTTGGAGAGAGAGGTGTGTTGAAGTCTCCTACTACTAGTGTGTGTGGTCTGATGTCTGCCTTGAGTTCTAGTAATATTTCTTTTACATAAGTAGGTGCTTTTATATTGGGGGTGTATATATTCAGGATTGAGACGTCCTCCTGATGAATTGTTCCTGTTATGAGTATAAAGTGACCGTCTCGGTCTCTTCTGATTGATTTTAGTTTGAAGTCAGTTTTGTTAGAAATTAGTATGGCCACACCTGCTTTTTTCTTAGGACCATTTGCTTGAAACACCTTTTCCCAACCCTTTACTCTGAGTAGGTGCCTGTCTTTGTGGTTGAGATGTGTTTCTTGCAAACAGCAGAATGTTGGATCCTGTTTTCGTATCCAATCTTTTAGCCTGTGCCTTTTTATAGGTGAATTGAGCCCATTAATATTAAGTGATATTAATGACCAGTGGTTGTTTACTCCGGTTATTCCTTTTGCTTTTGGTAGTAGAGATTGTGTGTCTCCCTTCTTTGAGATGTGCTCGTGAAGGGTCATTAGATGCCTGGGTTATTGTAGGCAGTGTTGGCAGTGTTGGATTCCTTGGGTTGCGATTTTCCTTCTATTACTTTCTGTAGGGCTGGATTTGTGGCTACGTATTGTTTAAATTTGTTCTTATCCTGGAATGTCTTGTTTTCTCCATTGATAATGAACGATAGCTTGGCTGGGTATAGTAGTTTGGGTTTGCATCCATGGTCTCTTAGCTTCTGCAGAACCTCTATCCAGGACCTTCTGGCTTTCATAGTTTCCATCGAGAAGTCAGGTGTAAGTCTGATCGGTTTACCTTTATAAGTTACTTGCCCTTTTTCTTTTGCAGCTCTTAATATTCTTTCTTTAACCTGTATATTTTGTGTTTTGATTATTATATGGCGAGGAGATGTTTTTCTTTGATCCAGTCTGTTTGGTGTTCTGTATGCTTCTTGAATATTTAAATGAATATCTTTCTTTAAGTTGGGAAAGTTTTCTTCCATAATTTTGTTGAAAATATTTTCTGGGCCTTTGAGCTGTGACTCTTCTCCTTCTTCTATTCCTATTATTCTTAGGTTTGGTTTTTTTATTGTGTCCCATAGTTCCTGAATGTTTTGTGTTGAGAATTTGTTGGCTTTGCTGTTTTCTTTGATCTGTTCGTTTATTTTCTCTATGGTGTCCTCAGCATCTGAGAGTCTTTCTTCTAGCTCTTGTATTCTATTGATTATGCTTGTTTCTGTAGACTCTGCTCGTTGGCCTAGATTTTCCATATCCAGCTGGTCCTCAGTTTGTATTTTCTTCTTTGCCTTCATTTCAGTTTTCAATTCTTGAACTGTTTCCATTACCTGTTTGATGGTTTTTTCTTGGTTTCCCAGGGTATCATGTACGTATTTACTCATTTCTTCAAACTTTTTGTTATACTTCTCATCCATTTCTATAAGGGCATTTTTTACATGTTGTTTAAGGGACTCTATTATCTTCATAAAGTCAATTTTTTCCACTTCTTCTGTGTTAGGTTGTTCAAATACTTCTGTTGTAAGATCATTGGGTTCTGATGTTTTCATGTTGTTTTTCGGATTATTGGGTGAATTCTTGCCTTGGCGCCTGCCCATCTCCTCCTATTGATCCTATCCAATGGGTCCTTTAAAAACCGGATCAGGTTTCCCTGCTGGCCAAGGGCTCCGCTTACAAAATGCCCTCACTCTCTTTCGTGGTTCCTGCTGCAGGCCAAGAACCCTCTCACCCCTCCGAAGGATCTTCAGGACAGGACCAGGCTCCCCTTGTGCCAGTGACCTGGCCAACCAAAGGCCTACCTCTTTGATTCAATTGTAGTAGGGCGATCTGCTCTCCTTATTGCACGCCTGTCCCCGCCGCTTGGGTCTGCCGCTGCGCTGGTCCCCGAAAGCCTCTTCCTGTATGCGGTGTTGCTCCGCCGCGTCTGGCCGCCGCCGCTCTGCCTCTGTGCGTCCGGCCGCGCCGCCGCTCTGCCCCTGAAAATATTTTTGTATCACCTTATTAGTAACTTTATAATGTTTCAGTATAGAAAAGCTTTTGTGGGAATTACTAAATTTTATATGAATTTGTTTAAAGGATCAAAATAAATTTGATTATTAGGTCTGATGTTTTAAAAACTTATGTCAGCATTAATTTAGAAACCCACCCATCTTTGTAAAGGGTCAGATGGTCAATATGTTTGGCATATAGTTCACTTGTCTCTAATTACTCTGCTCTGTAGGTATAACAGAAAAGAACCAAAGATAATATGTAAAGAATTAGCATGGCAATATTCCAATAACTGTATAGACAGAAACAGTGATGGGTTGGATTTGTCCCTGGCCCAGATGAGTAATCTAAACTCTGGCCATACGTTGGAATTGCTTGGAAAAGCTTTTCAGAGATATCCTTACTGGACCTTACTTTAAAACAATTTGAGATTCTAATATAGACAGATCTAATATTGTGCCTAGATAATAAACTGACCTGTAACTAGTAAATGAACATAGATTAAATCCAGTATATCCATGGGTTAAATTTCTACCTACTGCCAACTTAACATTACTGTATAGATTTTCCCCAAAACCGTGTTAATCATTTTATACTCTTTGTTTCAACTGTTATTTTAGCTTCTCTCCTCATAAAAATTTGAGAATAGACGAGAATTGTGGATGAGAAGAAATAGGTTTAACTAACTTCTATATTCTATATTGGAATTATTCATAGGTATGCTTTTACAAATGTCCCCTTTCTTGGGGCATATAGATATAATATCATAGCTATAAAAATAAATACTCAGGTAAATCAAGGGTCTCTCTTTGACTGCTTCCACTTCTGATTATTTTATTCTCTTGTTTTCCTCTCTCATCTTTTTTTTCATGGCTTTTCTATTGCCTCTATGCAAATCTGTTCCTTTGACTCTGATCTTACTTGTGATCCAAACTCCAGTTTTCATTTGGTCTTAATAGTTTTCTCTGTGTATTCTGTGGCTCTTCAAACTCTGTGTGCTTGAAAACCCACCTTTCCAAGTAAAACCAAACCAGTACTAGGACCAAACAGTAGTGAATTGTCACTCTTTCTCTTAAAGGTGTCCTCATTTTATGGGCACCCTCCACAGTATTACTTTAAAAATTGCTCATAGTATGATCTGTGGGACACAAGGCCAATTTAAGGTCTTCTAGATTGTGAAACAGAAAGCTTTGTAGAGAATTGGAGAAGCTATTCTATGCTGATATGTTCTAAAACATATTCACTACTTATGCCAGGCATGCATATGATCTGTATATATACAAATAATCAAAACACCCATACATATAAAATGAAAAAAATCTTTAAAAAATAAAATGAAAAAAATTCAAAGATGCTATGGAGACTGTAGGGTATATACCATGTAAGTTGACGTGTTCCTTTTCTCTAGCTGTTTCATCTCCCCTGTTAGATGGTTGCCTTATTTTTAGGTAAAACTTCCAAACTTATATTATTATTTAAATCCAAGGAATCATAGCCTATGGCTTTTGATTTAATTTTTTAGCTGCAATCTGCTTCTGTGTACCTATAAAGTAAATGCCATGTAACTAGAACCCAGGATAGGGTTACTTGTTCTCCAAAGGTTCATGTACCGACTGAAGTTGCTGAGTCAGTGTTCTTGTAGCTCAGTATGTTTATAACAGCCCTTGTTTCCATTTATTTCTGCAGAGTGTAGTGAAGTTAATGAGGGGACTGCTGCACTGCATGATCAGACAGGTATGGCAATGGTAACAACGCATAATCAAGACAGTATCCTAACAACTTCCCAATAATGCCTATAGCCTTTTTTTCAGATTCACAAATAGTACACTCTAATTTTAGAAAGTTTGGAACTCTCGGTGGGGATGTCACAGAGACTTACACCACCCTATTACAATGGGAATATTCCCTTCCAGGATTTTTCCTCCTTTTACAAATAATTGTTTAGAACTGTTTAAACTCTTAGGTCCCAGATCAGTTTTAGTAATAAATTTTTAGATTTTAAAAGATAGCAAAGTACATGTATCATATAATTTCTCATATATTCAGTGGAAAGAGAAGAATACTCTACAATATAAAAACATTTCTTGATAGGAAGTCATTCCTTTTACTGTAAATGGAATAAAGCGTATACATACCCCTATATTGATTTGAATTTAGTGTTTCCACCAGATGAGATTTGATGATGTAAAATGTAATTAGAAAAAATCAAAGTATTTTTAATTTTATAATTGGAGGACAAAGGATCTTGAACTTGAAGTAATTGGCATTCCCTGACATTGAGTGTAGCTGAATATTCTTTTGTATGTGAATTGGAAATCTGCAGTCCCTTACTGGTGAATTACTTGCTAGAGCTTTACCCTCCTTTTGTTGACAGCTTATTTGTTTTTCCTCCTACTGAGTTCTTGTACATTAAGGATATTAATCATTGTCACATACATTGCAAATATTTTTACAGTTATGTTTTGAGTTTATGACATTTTCTCCACACAAACATTTTTAGTAATAAACCTTTATTCTAGGATCTTAAAACATGTACATATTTAATCTGACTTAACTTTGTGAAAGTAGAAAGAAATCAATGCTCAACTTCTAAACTTATCTACAAATGACTTTTCAATATATATACAATTAATTGTTGTATATATCTTTTTACTAGTTTGTTCACATATATCATTTTTTCTCTCTGTCTTTTCTGCTTCATTTGTATTTCAGATATGTATACTTTCTATCTTATTGAGTATGTATAGTCACAAATTAATGAACATATTTAAGATGTCCTGGTTATTATACATCAGAGGCATAAATAATAACAACTACATTTCAGGAATTAGGTCAAGAAACTATTGCCTTATACCCAAGGTTTCCTGTCTGGACTTTTGCACTCCCCCACCCCCACCCCCGCTCGCTCACTCACAAGGCTCCCCCCTGCCCCGTGTGTGTGTGTGTGTGTGTGTGTGTGTGTGTTACAAAATGAACCCAGGGCCTTATGCATCCTCAGAAACACATTATCACTAAACTTATACCCCAGCTCCCAATGGTTTTCTTCTAATTTGTTATTTCAGCTTTCT